TAGCCAGAATTTACCGGCAAAAACCCATTTGTTCTCCGATAACCGAAAGTCAAATCTGTTAACACTTTAGATCTAAATGTCCCCCAGTGTCACGTTCAGAGATGGGGCCTCGAAGAAGGGGGCATATCAGTGGGGAGTGAATCCGAAGGGTGTACTCTGTACCTGGCTCCTCACCTTACTCTGTCTGTTTCCTGGCTCGTGTTTATCCCCACTTCTCCCCAGGGCTTTCGCTATGCCATTTCTGCCTTGGAGCCACCCACATGGATTGCATCCAATGAATCTGTGGGCCAAAATAACCCCGTCCTTTCAGTTGCATGTTTTGGGTACAGTTTCTCAGTGAAGGGAACTAATACGAAATCCCAATCCCCTGGTTCATTTTCAAAACACTAGATATCTTCTATTATTCTCCCAAAACTTTACATACACTGTCTCTTTGAATTAAAACAAAAACATATTAAGTATCTTCAATAGAAAACTAGTTTTTTCCTAGCATACCTTTCCAGCTTTTCTGACTCTATGAGACTGCTTTACCTGTCACCATCTTCGAGTTATTTACAACTCAGAGTTTACAGATAACTGATGGCAGCGCACATGACTCTTGTTGATAGGCAATAAATTTCGCCTGGTGAGTTTCAATCAATTTCCCTTTTTCACTGTGGAAGAAGCCAAATTTGCCTCAATTTGACATTAATTGTATCACTCTTCAGTCCTTATACAGTGTATGTAGAGCTCTTTGAGTGTTCTTTTAAGTCAGTTTTACTCCTCCTCATTAACTAGTGTGTTAAAGAAAGCTATATGTCAAGGTTTCATTTTATAATTATATGAGAATCATAATTTTACCTTTGTAAAAATATTATTTCAAAAAATCCTTTGCTGGGCCAGGGACATAGCTCAGCACCATAAGCGCTTGCCCGGCAAGCCTGAGGTCATGAGTTCGATTCCTGGTACAAAAAAAAATCCTTTGTGAAGTTCTGTTCACATTGCCAGTCTTCTCTGGCTCATTCTACCTGACATTACTGATTGCTCAGATTTCACAGGAAAACTAAACTCCTCAGTATGTCCTCAAACTTCAAAATCCATGATTTTCATGATAAACCTGGGTTACCATGATGTTTTATTTATTTTAGTTGGTTTTCTTCTACTGAAATACATACTATTTCATGAATGTGTTGTGTAGTATACTTTTACCTTAAGCCACTAATTTATTTTTATCAGTGACTTCTCAATTTGAGCACACGGTCTCTGAGGGCACTGATCAGAGTTTGTTTCTCTCCTCTCCTCCTAGTGTCAGCACAGTACCTTACACTGTCCACTGCCCAGTAAATATCCACTGCTGAGTCCCACCAACTGCCCATGAGTGGGAGCTCTCAAGACTTTTCTCCAGCTAATCAATCAATGAGCTTTATTTGGGGGACCGACTTGCTGTATTTTCCCTGAAAGTGATTCTTTGCCAAGAAAATGCATGGTAAACTTTAGTGAAGATGATTAATAGGTTTGTGAAATATCAAATACTATATAGTACAGACCAGAAAGTCAAGGAAATAAAGAATAAATTGATGCACTACTGCAAACTATTAGAATGATAGTTCATAACTATAATGCTAAGTACAGTCTTATATGAGGGTAAGATACATTTAGCACAAAATTCTATGAATATTTGTGTGTGTGTGTACATACATATATATATATATATATATATATATATATATATATATATATTTTAATTTATCAGTATGTACGGGGGACTCAACTAGGACCTTCACAATGAACTACATCCCAGCTCTTACAAATGTTTATTGAAAGTCCACGATCTGTCATGAATTTTGACAGAGCCTTGGGATTCAGATACAAATGAAAAGCAATTTCTAAGCCAAGGAGTTTACCTGCTACCAAGGGAAGGAGAGGGAAAGGTGAAAGAGGAGGAAAAATGAACACAAGTCCCTGCCCACTAAGCAGGGACAAATGGTGGCAACCAAAGCAAGTTTTTCATTATGATGCAAAGACTGTGCTATTTCCAGGTATTATAGCTATCTGAACTTTTACAGCAATCTATTTTAAATATCCCTAATGAAAGGATAAAATTTCAAACCCTCCCATATTTGTATCACCATGATAGATACGCTCCTTGCAACACCTCATGCTCTCTTAATCCCAGCTCCACCAAATGTGGACCACCAACATTTTCATACAGCTTAAGTGCTGAGTTGTAAGAGAATAATAAATGATCTTGAGATTGCTTTCAGCATATTTGATTTTATGAACTATAAAATACTTTACCAGTTGAATAGTCTACCAACTGCTCCTTATAATGCCATGTGAAGCCAAAGGACTTCATAATATTGGAACATTATATCATTACTGAGCATTTTAATTTTTATAGTTTTACTTATGATAATTATTTTAAATTAAAACTATCTTGAGAAAACTGCTAATGTAAAAAACTTACTGTAAAAAATCGGTTTTATCTTTCTCATGATTATTTTTAATTTTTACTTTGAATCCTAGGGCAACCCTTAAAGTAGGACACTTAAGATTCTGTTGTACATTGCTTTGTTAGTAAAGTCATTATGAAAACACTGGCAAATACAAATAAGGTTATAGATTTTTGTTGATATAATTTTTATTTTCACGTATTACATTGGTATAGTTCATGTAATTCAATAAGTAAGTGGCACTTTCAAAATGATAGCAATACCCTAAGGCTTGTTTGGTCCTATATATTTTCATGTGTACCTTCTCCCACATGTTCCCACAACCTGAACAGTCATTACAACTTTAAAGATTTATACAGATGTAGGACTCAAGAAAGATGTAATTTGCCACTTGTAAATGGCTTTTTGTACAGTGAATCCAGCTCCTCAAACTCAAAAAATCTGTTTTCACTTCATATTTTTAAAAATGGTATTTAACTTTCAAGCCAAATCTTGTTGGCAAGACATTCCTAAGGGTAAGTAAAATACATGTAGAGAAACACTAAACATCTTATTCACCTGCAGTGCCATCATACTGAAACTCAGAAGGTCAGTGTACTTTCCAAATGGCTCAGTTAAATCTAAGGAATAAGTTATTTGCCTAGTAGGGTCTGTACAGTGTCAATCAAAATCACTTGCTTACAAAAATATGCCCTATTAGCATATTTCCATTCCTCACACTTATAAACTAAACACCTTATTTAGTAGCCTTATAGTTTAAAGGATTATTATTTTTTCTTGCTCACTAAAAATATACAAAGAGCCAGATGTGGTGGTGTACGCCTGTAATCCTAGCACTTGGGAGGCTGAGGCAGGAGGATCCTTGCAAGTTCGAGGCCAACCTGGACTACAAAGTAACCTTAAGGCCAGCCTGAACTGCATAGTGTGACCCGGTCTCAAAAAAAAAAGACCAAAAAGTAAAAAATAAAAATATACAATCACCACTACTTTCAACATTATCTTAGTATTTTATGTAAGATGGCTGTGGCAATGCACACTTATAACCCTAGCACTTGGAAGGCGGAGGCATGAGGATGTCCATAAATTCAAGGCCAGTTTGGGCTACTAATGTGTTCAAAGGCAGCCTGAACTGCATTGCAATACCCTGTCTCAAAAACAAAAACAAAACCCCAGAAAACAAATCTATGTATTTATGGATTTTCTTAAAGGCATTTTAAAATGCAAAAATATACATATTTAGTATTTGCATCATATTTCCATGTTTTCATACTTTTTTTTCCATTTTTTTTCCAGATAAACTGATATTACTGATATTACATAGTAGCATGGCAATCTTTACTTTTTTGAAAATATGACTCATTACAACTGCACAGTATTTCATAAGGTAATAAGCACAATTATTTTAATGTTCTTCCAATTTGCAGTTATTATTACAAAAATATTTATAGAAGTAAAATAGCTAAGAGGCTGAGACAGGGTGATTGCCAAGTTCAAGCCCAAGTTGGGTAACTTAGACCCTAACTCAAAATAATAATAATAAAAACATAAAAATGGTTGGGATATATCTTAGTTTGAAGGTCCTACGTTCAATCCCCACTACCAAAAAAAAGTACCAGAGCTATATTTATAAAATTTTTTCTTTTAAAGATTGCCATGCTATTAAAAGTAGAAAGTAATGAAATCACAACCCATAGCTCCTGTCTAACAATCTATTGGAGTTTATATCTATTTTTATCTACACGGCCCTCCAAAGCCCCGTGCTGCCATAGCTAGGGAAATGATTGGACCACAGGTGTGTGACACACCTAAGCTCTTTCTATAATCATTCCGGCACACGGGGTGGAAATTCCATATTTTACCTATTCACTGTCAAACAATAAATTTGCCTCTCTTCTTTAATTAAAAAAAAATTTCAAATAAATATTGAAGGATATAGTTTTTATATCTATGCACCCAAAAACTATTTTCTCACACTAGATTCCTACAAGTAAGATCATTTAGAAAAATGATCAGGCTGTAATTATTTCTTGGATACTGATAAAAACAAGGAAAATAATGTGAACATCAAAAAAAGTACATTTCAAAGTATGAACAGCATCCTCATCTCAGTTTCTTATTTTTTTTTTTTTGTTTGTTTTTTGTTTTTTGTTTTTCTCCGGTACCGGGAACCGAACTCACGACCATGCGCTTGCCAGGCAGGCGCTTTTGCCGCTGAGCTAAATCCCCAGCCCCTCAGTTTCTTATTAACTAATCTTTTTCATAACCATGAAATACAGAAATATGCAAGGTATGGATTATATTTAAATGAATCACGTTTTCCATAAATTAGTACATCTTGGCATATCAGTCTTGAGAAAGCAGTGACCACTTAAATACATTCACTTTTTCCCCCATTTAAAATGTCTGTACCCACATACCTTTCAAAAATATTTTAGCTCCTTTCTCCCTTTAATCTTAGCAGAAATTTTAGAAATGCTTCTTGGAACTGTTTTCTTCGCTGTGCTCTGAAATCCTTATCAGGAGACAGTACTAATTCTAATACAAGAAGAAAGAAAATCCCCAACTTACCATTTCTAATGCATTTACACGGTCCTGCAAATAAAGCATAATATATAATTATAAAACTACAAAAAATTATTACATGTTTACTCATTTTGCAGGTTTTCAATTTACCCCGTTATAATAATTTATGTAATCATTATACAACTGTAAAAAATGAATACTCAGAATGATCTTGTGGAACAGAAGATAGCCATGAAAGAATCACCATATTTTTTCTAATTTATCTGGCGTTAGGGTTCAATTTAACATTACATATAAATTAAGGTCCAGGTACTGAAAGGAACAGATTTCACCATTTTTGTATCATTAAACTTACCTTTAGAGATACATAAATATTAGATAAACTTCAATACACTAATATTAGTGATTTCAAAATGAAAGTTAGCATATACTTTCTCACTAGGTAGACAGTAACAATGTGATCTTGAAGGTAAAATTCAGATAAAAGTATGACTTCATTAAATCAAATTAATACATACATCATTACTCAAAACAAGGCAAGAAAATAAATAAAGTATTGACATGCACCATTCCTGAACCCAAGCAGGCCTGCATTATCTAAAGCATCTTACCGGGGTTACAGAAATATTGGTTTTAAAAGGGGTTACTGAGGGGCTGGGGATTTAGCTCAGCGGCACAGCGCCTGCCTGGCAAGCGCAAGGTCGTGAGTTCGATTCCTGGTACCGGAAGAAAAACAAAACAAAAACAATAACAAAATAAAAGGGGTCACTGACAACACTGTTTAAAAACTTAACTGATCAAGAAAATGACTGTATTTTCAACTCAATAGTTATAGTCTCAATTTCTTCCAGAACTGTGGAAAAGAATTAGTTTCCCAATTAAAAAAAAAAAAAAAAAAAATTCACCTGTAATCCTACCACCTGGGAGGCTGAGGCAAGAGTTCAGGGCCAGGCTGTACTACATAGCCAGGCCTTGCCTCCAAAAACCAAAACCAACAAAGGGAGCAGGGAGGGATCAGAGGGCTAGAGGAAGAAAAAGACTTAGGATGTGTTGTGTACATATACAAACTCCCCACAATAAATGTAATCATTATGTACTAAGAAAAAAATTTTTATATCTGAATTTGAAAGAAAGCCTAAAGATTTAAAAAAAGGAAAGTGATTTCTTCTAGGGAGGTCAAGATCATTTAAGCTTTCTTTTCTATTATTCTAAGCAATTGTGGGAAATCTGTGGGATCTGGATTTTTGTTTGTTTAATCAAATTAATCGTTTACCATAAGAAGTAAGGAGGGATGAAAAGGCCTCACCCAGCTCTCTGGTGGCCCTGCAGGGACTCACCGGCACTTACAAGTGCTTAGGAGCAGAGTGAACTAGAGCCTCCCCTGGATGTAAAACAGAAGCCTCACCTCTGAAGTCTTCTGCAACCAGACCTCCAATTCTTAGAGTGAGAAACGGGGTTTAGCATTTCTATCCTGTGCACATTTAACTATGCAGGCACGTGTTAAATAAATATATTATGCAAAATCACCCCAAAGCAGATTGTTTTTAGCAAAGGAGTCTGTTTAGTTACATTATTTTGGCATACATGGGAGGTCCTCATTCTTGCCCCCATAGTTTTCCTAAAATAACTGCTATTTCATTGGTAACTTGTATACTGTCACATTTGAATGCTTTATAATAAATTCACGTGATGCCTCAAGGGAGCTTTGTTCTGTTGTTACCAGCCTTCTTACTCACAACACATCTGGAATAAAACCATCAACAATGCTTTATCATCCTTTGCAGATTGAAGAGAACCTCATTAACTACCCTATAGAGACATAAATAGCCTTTGGACAGTTTATATGAACATCGTGAAAGGCTCAAAATATTTACAGCCCCTTTTTGGGCTTTAAGATTTCCCCAGACCATGGGTTTGCAGGCTGATCTTATTTAGGATTAGCATATTTTAAGAGCCCACATAGAGCTGGTTTAGAATTGATGACTTCACATGATGTCAAAATAGTAAAACTGAATTGAATTCTGTTTTAATTCTCACATGGCATTTGCCAAAGATAGACTGATATTACAATTTATGTTAAAAATATCTGTTTTACTTAATTTATTAAATGACATTAAAAGAAATGTGTACATAGCCTATAAGATTATGGGTTCAAACGGTCTACACAACACCATTTGATGAAAACCAAAAGCTACTAAATAATATTCAAATAAAATCTACTTCTCCTGTTTGTCTATAACCTAGTTTTTCCCAAAGTGATATTGAGATAACATTTAATGAAAAAAATGAATTTTTTTTCTAAAAAAGAAATAGGAGAAACAGACAATTCAGCTCATTGATCTAAATTTCAATAATTCAATTTGTCATTCAGCAATGGTTGATAAGATACCAGCCACTGAAATCAATTAAGTAAGCTTTGTCTAAATTGTAGAGGTTTTAAGTTTTAGTTGTAGAGTACAAATAAAAAGGAACTATTAATATTTTTAAGTGATTTTAAAATTTAAGAAATATATTTTGAAAAAGTGGTTGTAGTTGAAATCTTTTTTACAGATCAATTAGTTATATATTTGTATATAAAAGAATTAGGCTATTGTATCTGCATATTTTCTTTCATGTTACTGTTAGTAAAACAGAAGAAATTTAAGTCAATATTGTGGCTCTGATACAGTTCGTCAAAAAATGCCCATCTATGTTCTAGAATGAACAGTAACAGCAAACTTGTTTACATCTTTCACAGGCTTCTCTAGCCTACCTAGCGCTGGAATAGTGGAGGGTTTTTTCTTTTTCTTTCTTAAGGAGAGAGTGAACTATAATGGATTTTATCTTCCAGCTCCACCTGCAGGTTCAACACTCCCTTCCCTGAGACCCCCCCATTTCCTAGCCTGGATCCAGGAAAAAACACTATTGTTAGGGCATGGAAAGAGGGTAGAGGCTCATATAGAAAAGACAACCTCCATGAGAAACGAAGGTATCACACTAATCATGATATCTGAGATTGATTTAATAAATTGGTGGCTCTTATCATTACAGTTATGGACTTCGTAAGAGTCTCCCCAGGAAAGTGTGTATTATACACAACACACACAATTATGTGTGCACTTGTAAGGCAAATACAGACTCTGAAGCATTCCCATAGACTTCCAAGTTCTTTTCCTCCAAATACAGTATCTAAAATAAGATGTGAAACTCTTACTCAAATACAGTATTATTTTTAAGCCAATTTGCTTAAAAATTCTCCTTCATGGAATGTTTCTAGATAACACTAGTAACAAGGAATGAAAAAATCGCAACAGTTCAGGCCAGAAGTAAAAATATGGAACTCTACATGGGGGTGGAAATTTAACCAAAAGGGAAACTTCTTTTAAGCATTTTGAAAAAAATTTTTAGAGAGGATAAAGCCTACATTGTCGCCACTGTTTTTCTGAGATTAGAAATTCCCTTTTCCACTGTTTTTTAATTCTTAGTGAGGGAAAGTTAGATAACATTTACAGTGGCAACAAATAAGATTTTTAACGTTTACTCTTAAATGATTGCACACGTAGTCCACGTAGTTACTGAGTTAAAAGCACAGTGTTAATATGGTAGTTAATTCTTAGTAATAAGTATTATACATAATTTGTGGCTAGACAGCATGTCTTAATTTATTGTGGGCTTACCTGATCAAGTAGGGAGAATTGTATTTTGGGAGAAATGTAAAGCATATCTACTATTAAAATGTATTTTAACTTTTTATGATTAGGTTGGTAACCTGCCGTGAACTATAAATACTCATTTGCTCCTTGGTCACAATGAAGCATACATTAGAACTTAGAAATCAACCAAGGCAAATTCATTAGCATCACTGGAGATGGGCAAATATGTGTAGGCTAAGTTAGGAAATGAGCGTGAAATGGATCGTTGCTATCTGAATACCTGATCATTAATATTTGATTTGATTCAGAAGAACCAATCAATTAGGCATACTGACACAGCCATCTCTGCTATGAGATGAATTAGAATCTTATAGGTCTAAATAATCAGAATTCTTTTGCCTCTGGTAAATAGAGCTGAACAGGTCTAGTGACTTTATCACAATAATGCAGTCTTTTTAAAGAATGCTTTTAATATATCATTAGCATATGAGGGCAACACTGGCATAAAAATATAACAAGAATTTCTATCCTTTCCTAGTCTAAGAAGCTTTAAGAGTACAAAATAAATTTCAAAATATCTCTGGGATTGAAGGATCATGATGAACATATAATTTTCAAAAAAAAGAAATATTGACAGTGAAGACGTCTTCCCATGCTGTTCTGAAAGCACAAGCCTCTAGTCCAGAAGAAAAATGTACTCAGGTTCATCCAAAGAGAACACTGCGAGGTCTTCTTCTGTCAGTGTCAACTCTGCAATCCACACTCATACTTCACTTGCTTCTTCCTACATAAAGGATACTGAATCCAAGACAAAAAGCATGTACCTTTTCTCTTCTGGGCATTTCCCCATAGCACTCCATTACATGTAATAATGTGCTAGTCATTTTTTTAATAATTAAAGGACATAGAAGTAATTTCAAATATAATTGTTCCCAAACTTCAAGGTAGTAAAAAGAAAGAAAGATGGCCTTTACTGACCATCAATAAAAAATGAGCATTTTATGTAGCAGTTAAAAATAAATTAAAGTACAATGAAGAAATAAAATTGCACTGTCAATGTAGTAACATTAAAAAAGCATTATAATGGCTTAAACTGGCTTTGAATATACCAAATCCATCAATGATTTATACATGAGATTTCACTGATATCTACTAATAGTCAGTTATTCTTGACTTTAAAAAGCTTTGGGTTGACTGGTATTAGTGGAGCCTGCACTGGTTTCCCAGTCATTCGGTGTTAATTTAGCCACCAACAGTTACCTGTAGTCAGTATTTTAAAACTTACTGCACTAGCTGCTTAGGTACCTTTTGCAAATTACCTGTGTCAGGGTCCAAAACAACAAAACTAAATATCGAAGAAAAAAAAAAAAAACTCTTAGAGCAAATAATCAAGACTTTGTCTCAAAAAGTTGTCCATCAAACTCGCAATATTCTGAG